GTATCAACTCTACAAATTAGTCGGCTTACACTGTCAAAGAAGGTTCTTTCAATGTCATCAAAAAAAAATTCCGTAAACTACCTATATTGTTTCCAAGTAAAAAAATGTTATCTTAAAAGTAGAAAAAAAATAGTTTATTTGATAATTTTAAATGTCAAACTACTTTTGATCGAACGAATTTTCGAAATGAAAAGGAAACAGAGTAAGGAACGTGCGAAATTTCGATCGAAATTTCGTTTTTCGTTGAAATAGAGTAGATCTCCTGGTGCGGACCATTCAACGGGGTCATTTATTGGATTACTCTACACTTGATCGGCTCCGTACAGAGGTCTTAAAAGTAGAGCCAACGCCCACTCGTTGTCGAGAAGCAAACGCAGATGGACGCCGAGTTATCAAACAGTGATCAACGGGCATGAGCCAGTTGAGGCGATGCTGGTAGACTGGGGACCTTTATTTTTTTTTGATAAAGCAATTCTACCCGATCGACGAACAAAAAAGTTTGTCGTCATCCTTAATATGAATGTACGGATACTTACCACCAATCTCTTATCTATATATATATATATATATAACTCAAAGGTGACTGACTGACATAGTGATCTCTCAACGCACAGCCCAAACCACTGGACGGATCGGACTGCAATTTGGCGTGTAGGTAGATGTTATGACGTAGGCATCCGCTAAGAAAGAATTTTGATCATTTCTACCCCCAATGGGATAAAATAGGGAATGAAAGTTTGTATGAAACGTTGTCAATTTTAAACCGATCGGGCTGAGACTTTGCATGCAGGTATAAGAAGAATCACAGATGAATGTCATTGTGCATAATACAAACCTGAGAACAAAAGTGTAGTCTACACTTCAGCTCTACACCGAAGCGAAGCGAGGGCGGGCCGCTAGTTCAACATAAAATTGGAGCGCTCGAATGCTAAAGAAGAAGCAAAAAAGAGTGCTAAAGAAGATGCTGTACAGAAAACCACTATAAAACCTCCACAGAAGGCTCTAATTGGACTTTTCTTTGATTTTTCCACTGTAATCAGGTTCCCAGACTTCCACGGGGTAGAGGATAGGATCAAGGTAGGTTGAATTCATATAAAGCGGGCTATAAGCTTGTCATGCGACTGCACTCAACTACTTAAAAGTACTTAACTGAAAACAAGTCCCATTAGATTCTAGAACGGATCAATTTTCCCAATTATAGGTCCCGACTGTTAAAGTATATTTGTTCCTTACTCAATAGAATTCTAGTCAAGACTTGTTTTCTTGTTTTCTGTTTCTATTTAAACTTAATTTCTTAGCAGACGGGTTTTTTTACCAAGTATAGTTAACCGATAAAAAAATAAACCTATTTTCAAAACGGAAAAACCTTATGTTTTTATTTATTTTTAAGCATTTAACTGCTAGATGTTTAAATCTGCCTTGCAGCTTAAGGCTAGGAAAATTTCGACGCGGCGAACAGGGCCGTGGTAGCATAATGGTCAGTGCATTCGCCCGGATAGCGAAGGGTGCGGGTTCGAGTCCCGTCCGCAGCCTGGTCCGCGTGACTTTTTTTCTAGTAAACTTTTCCTTAGGAAAAACCTTGTTAATCTCATCAAATTACGGGCTCTTGTATTATCATAAAGTTAACAAAGACAGACAGTTTAGGAGCTCGATGGCGCAAGTGGTTAGCACGTTCGGCCGCGATCGTTGAACTTAAGCAACTTTCGCAGTGGTCGGTCATTGGATGGGTGACCAAAAATTACTATCTCGAGCTTCTCCGTGCTTCGGAAGGCACGTTAAGCAGTTGGTCCTGGCTGCATCTGCAGTCGTTAGCACCCACCAATCCGCATTGGGCCCGCGTGGTGGGTCATGGCCCAATCTCCCTATTCCATCCATATAGGGAAGGCATGTGCCCCAGCAGTGGGGACATTAATAGGCTGATAATGATGATGATAACAAAGACAGAAATAAATAAGTACCAAGTCCATGAGATGCGTTTATTTACATTGTATAATTAAAAATACCCTTTTATAATATTATTTTACAGTTTAAATCCTTGACTAATTTAAAAATAAAATACAAGAATAATGAAATTTTCTTATAAATGTAGCAGTTAAATGTTTAAAATAAATATAAATTTAAAATTAAAGTTTACACAATAAATAAAAGTTAAATATACCGTCGAAATGGTACTATCAAATACACAAACTAAATATGTATGAAGCAGGCGAACAATGAAAATATATAAAAGAATTAAAATATGGGATTATTGACTGGAGTTTAATATTAAAATTGTAATGACCATTTAATATTCTAGTTCTTTAAAAAAACCTTTATTTTAACCTCCACATACTTTACAACTATTATACTGAATCTTAGATTCGACTATTTCTATCGATACAAATACATTTTTATAATATCACATTTAGACTAGCGATAATTTGTGTTTAAGACATTGTTTCTTTAAAAGAGTTGCCGAATTGAAGACAATTTTGTGTCTCCGACTGGGTTTTCGTGAAAATTGTACTTAATTTTTCTAAACTTAATGCTAGTCGCTTTATCCTTGTAATGTAATTTGGCAAGTAGTATATACAGATCATGAGCTATAGGAAATAAGAGAAATTAAGAAAAATTGGTCAAGTTCGAGTCCGTTCCCGCACAAAGGGTTTCGTACCACTGCATCTGCAAAACATTAGACTCCATTATAATTAATTTTTTTTAAGCATGCAACTGCTTGATGTCTTCTTGCTGCCTCGCAGCTTAAGAATGGCTAGAGGAATTTCGACACGGCCGTCAGGGCCGCGGTAGCATAATTGGTCAGTGCATTCGCCCGGATTGCGAAGGGTGCGGGTTCGAGTCCCGTCTGCTGCCTGGTCCGCGTGGAATTTTTCCTAGTTATATTTTCATTAGACTCCATATTACAATATCGAGCAATAAGCGGTATAAATATTTACTTACATATTTAAATTATTCTGTTTTTAGTATTTATTGTTAAAATAGACTGGGTCGATAATTTTAAAAATGGTAAAAAGTGAAGAAAAGATATAATATAAGTTTTTTATACCATCAGAAAGTAGAAATTTCAACAAACAAAAAACACACCAACTTTTTTTAAAAAGCAGATATTTTGACGTGAGAATTTTCGATTGAAAATTAGGGTGCTTTTTCGATATTAAGTCAAAATAAGGTGAAAAAATGAATATGTTAAAATCAAAAAAATTACTGTATGTTTGGGACATACAAAGGGAATAATTTGTTTTGCAAAAAATAAAAATAAAAAACCAAAAAGTCGGTTATTCGAATTTTTCACATAAATTTTGAGGTTATGTGAAAAAAATACAAAAGTTGTTGTGTCGATACAAAAGTTATAGATCTTTTTAAAACCTACAACTTTGCCATTTAACTTTTTTTCATAGGACTTTCAGTTTTACCGGAAATCGAGATTAACCGTATTTTACCCTTAAAAAACTCACCCCCTCCCCCTTCCCGACCTCAGATCGCCCGTAATTTATTTTTCCTTTCATTTTTGTTATATTCTCTACCTTTTCCAATGGGTTTTCTCCTACTATAATTTTTTTTGGTCTCAAAAATTATCGACCCTGCTCTATAACAGCAACGGAAATACATCATATGTGAAAAAATCAACTGCCTACTAACTCAATCACGTTTCATGAGATACAGCCTGGTGACAGACAGACGAACAGTGGTATCTTAGTATCTATTACCCTTTGGATACGGAACTCTAAAAATGAAGGCTCGTCTAATATTGTCACGTTACAATAGCATTTTCTCATAATAGGGTATTTGACAGTGTTAAAAATTAAGTGCCAATTGCTGCCATCTGTGTTTAGAATGAATATTGGCAGGGGTGGGTTTTTACAAAAAAAAATATTCATAATTTTACTAAAAACTAACGAAAAAGATAATAGTTTTCTTATCTATTGTCACGTGACTCAAAACGCTTGGGATTGGCGGAGTCGAAAGTGACATTACATTGTATCGTTTGACGTTTTAAACACAGTCGTGTGACGTCACACACTAGTAAGACGCCATATTGTCCAGAGAAACGTTTTCGCGGCAACTTGTAAATGGAGTTTTTTATTTGGTTATTTTTACTGAAATACACAACAGAATGATGAATATGCACTTTTTACGGACTCCATAAACATTAGTCAATAACGTGAGATCGTTTTCTAAAACTTGTCCAATACCCTATTACTATTCAAATAATTTTGCTATTTTTTGCGAATTGGAATATGCACACAAAATCAGTTAAACGTACGTAGTACAAGCGTGAGAAACAAAACTGTAATTAAGACAGTCACACAAACAATCGTTTTTAATTTGTAAGCCCAATTTTTGTACCCAATTCGACAGGGTGGAAAGCTATATATGACTACTTTCCTCCTGGCTGCGTCGGTTGTGTCGCTCGAAGTTGGTTCCCCATACACACTTTGAAATTAAATAATTTATTTACAATAAACATGTGAATCTTCCATCTATTTTAGATTACAAAATTAAAGTTGCTTCTTTGAAATACTAAGAATCTCATTACTAACAGAATAACATTGAAAAAAGCTAAAGTCACATGATTATGTATGTGACGTTTTTAATAATTATTAATTATATTATAAATTAGTACCAAATTCTTGTAATTTGTTAAACCCGATTACATTGAAGGATTAGACGGAAGCAGTAACCAATTCTGGGAAGGATCAAAATAAAATTACACAAACAAAAGTCTAATAATCTTTTCTCAGTATCTGCTTAATCGTAAAAAACAACAAACGAAGTTTTCAGTTAAGCCATTAACATACATTATATTACGTACAAAGTTCTTACAAGTAACAAAATAAATGTATTTCCACTTCTTTCTCAAATATAGTACTTAATAATTATATATTTTAAATGCTATGGTTATACCACAATCAAGTTAGCGCTGTTGTAATGGAAAATTTTGTCTACTATTTTTCTGTCACTAATGTTCAACGCCTAACTTTTTATGGAGAGCTCATTAAAATCTATTTATGCAAATGTATAGAAATGTTGATATTAATATTGCTGTCTTCATTGTCAGCATCAGAATCGAGCTTATAGTCTTGTTTGTCATCAAAGATGACCTGGTTTGCATCGTTGTTGTTACCAGGTGAAGAGTTGCAGCTCCTATCGCTTCTGAGAAGACTGGTCTTCTTCGTATCCTTGTTGTAGTAGTCTTTCCACTTTTCGCTGCAGAGGGCGGTGGTCTCCGCACCGTAGTAGCTGCATCTTCTGAAGACCCTGTGGTCTATTCTGTTCCTCCTGTCGAGGGAAGAACGGACCCTCACCAGGTGTCCACCTTCGGACGTGTGGTTCACCATGGTCTCTCTGATGCTGGAGTGCTCCCTATACTTGCTCTGTTTTCTTCGACCCTTGCTGCAGCATAAGGTTTCTTTGAACGCGATCCTGTACCTGGGAAAAGAGATGCGAATGTATTTTTTTAGCTATTCCAATCTTGCTACAAGAGAGAGAGGGAGAGAAATATTTTATTGACTAAATTACTAAAAAAATATACACAGTAAAAAAACAACAGATTTAATCTATATATATAAAACTCAAAGGTGACTGGACTGGACTGACTGATATAGTGATCTATCAACGCACAGCCCAAACCACTGGACGGATCGGGCTGAAATTTGGCATGCAGGTAGATATTATGACGTAGGCATCCGTTAAGAAAGGATTTTGATCAATTCTACCCCCAAGGGGATAAAATAGGAAATGAAAGTTTGTATGAAACTTTATCAATTTTAAACAGATCGGGCTGAGACTTTGCATGCAGGTATAAGAAGAATCATAGATGAATGTCAATGTGTATAATACAGACCTGAGAACAAAACCTGTAGTCTACACTTCAGCTCTACACCGAAGCGAAGCGAAGGCGGGCCGCTAGTTATTATTATAAATAGTCTATCAGGACCCTGCCTTAGCATAATGCTGCCGCAACACGCCACCAAACGTGTCACAGCAGCGCTGGTGGCATGGTGTAAGTAAGTGGCAGAGGTCTAAAAGAAGCCACTTAACGAACTCCGTGGCCCTGTGGTTTGTACGCCGGATTTCACGTTGACGCCGACTCGAGAGATCCCGGGTTCGAATCCCGGTGAGGACAGATGTTTGTGTGATGAATACGAACATATGTATTTTGAATGAATGAATACGACCATTTGTATTTCAGTCATGCATGTTTAATATGCTCGCTACGCTTCGGTGTAGAGCTGAAGAGTAGACTACAGTTTTTGTTCTCAGGCTTGTATTATACACAATGACATTAATCTATGATTCTTCTTATACCTGCATGCAAAGTCTCAGCCCGATCGGTTTAAAATTGACAAAGTTTCATACTAACTTTCATTCCCTATTTTATCCCCTCAGGGTAGAATTGATCAAAATTCTTTCTTAGCGGATGCCTACGTCATAACATCTACCTGCATGCCAAATTTCAGCCCGATCCGTCCAGTTGTTTGGGCTGTGCGTTGATAGATCACTATGTCAGTCAGTCACCTTAGAGTTTTATATGTATAGATATATAAGTATATTTGTATAGAAATACATATTATATTATTCCAACGACGCATTCCTGAAAAGGATGCGAAACGTCAATAAATAAATAAATTCAGTAGGTACATCTAACCCGTTAAAACTAGTTTTTCCGGATGAGTGATGTGCGTGAAAACCTAAGAAACAAATACTTATATGTGTACAGTATATGTATTATATATCCATAGATATAAACAAGCCTTATAGTGTTTACTTTGGGGCTAGGCTAATTGGTGTGTGTTGGAAATATTAATTTTAAAGAAAAGTTCGCAATCCGGGCGAATGCACTGACCATTATGCTATTGGCCGCGTCGAAATTTTCCTAGCCTTAGGCTGCAAGGCAGCGCCATCTCTTCACATTTTTTCTAGTAAACTTTTCTTTAGATTTAAACATCTAGCAGTTAAATGCTTAAAAAATAAATTAAAAATATTTATTTTATTTATATTTATATACACTGGGAAAATTGGATGATTTTCAAATTGGCTTAGAGAATTTTAGATTTGCGTTTCACGTAAAGAGTTTATTAGAAAAACACGAAGGAAAAGTTCTGATCTACCCACCATACAGCTTGTTTCCAAAGTTAGAATAAATTGCAGCTAATAATTCAACGGATTTTTTTTCCTTTTCTTTTGTTCCCTTTGTGCGAGTTGGGTTCCATGTATACCGCGGCTAGGGATGAAACGATACCATCTAGGTATCGATACTTTTACTCGATACTGTATCGGTCATACTCGGTATCGAATGAAAAGTATCGATACATACTTGTATCGATAAATTTTGACGAACGATATTACAATTACAAATCCAGTCAAAGTTTTAATTTAACGAAAACATAATAACCATAATATAAACATAATAGAATATATATAAATCATACGCAAGGCTGCCAACTGAGCAGTAGAAAAGATGCGTTTGCGAAACCAAAATTGCAACTACACCTTACTATAGAGTAAATAATCTGATTATCGAGTTTTTTTTATACTTCTCAGTGAGTGATCGACCGAGTACCGATACAAGTACTTACTTCACGATACTACTTGTTACTCGTATCTTAAGTATCGATGCCAAAGGTACTTGGTATCGAAAGAAAAGTATCGAGTAGGTACTTGTATTTAGTCGTATCGTTTCATCCCTAACCGCGGCTACAATACCCGCCGACTGTCAAGTCGGCACCGGCTTTGTGTTTTGTACCTTACCACCTTAACAGGTCCACATAAAAGACATTTCCAATGTGAAAAATGATCTCTTTGACACACCAACCACCTCGTTAAATTGTGCTAACTGTGCGTATTATAATAAATTAATAAGTATGGTTATAGTAACTGTTATTTTATATTGCACTAGCGGCCCGCCCGTGTAGAGCTGAAGTGTAGACTACAGTTTTTGTTCTCAGGCTTGTATTATACACAATGACATTCATCTATGATTCTTCTTATACCTGCATGCAAAGTCTCAGCCCGATCGGTTTAAAATTGACAAAGTTTCATACAAACTTACATTCCCTATTTTATCCCCTTGGGGGTAGAATTGATCAAAATTCTTTCTTAGCGGATGCCTACGTCATAACATCTACCTGCATGCCAAATTTCAGCCCGATCCGTCCAGTGGTTTGAGCTGTGCGTTGATAGATCACTACGTCAGTCAGTCAGTCACCTTTGAGTTATATTATATAGACTAGATGTTGTTCCCAATTCTGAAAGAGCTCTGGAACTAGTAAGTATACCAGAAATTGATGTAAAGGGATATTTTGTATAAAAAGTTATTAGCTCTCGTAAAGTTGAATGGTAAGCTGTAATCTCCTACCCTGTAGAATCCAGGAACCCTTACTATACCGACGGTAATACAAAACTACCAAAATGGAGCGTTATTTCATCAGAACCATTCGAACCGATGGCGTAGCTTTTCGACATTCATAAGTGCTTGTAACAGCCTAGACTGAATAAACGATATTGAATTTTGAATTTCATAGTCTTCAGAAAGGTGGAGGTTCCTCCGAATCCAGCTTGTAAAAAACTCCAAAAACTCTTGTAACGGTCGGGGCTATACAACCTTGATTTTCATTATTTCAAATTTCAAATCAAATCATCTTTATTGCGAACTAGCGGCCCGCCCTCGCTTCGCTTCGGTGTAGAGCTGAAGCGTAGACTACAGTTTTTGTTCTCAGGCTTGTTTTATACACAATGACATTCATCTATGATTATTCTTATACCTGCATGCAAAGTCTCAGCCCGTTCGGTTTTAAAATTGACAAAGTTTCATACAAACTTTCATTCCCTATTTTATCCCCTTGGGGGTAGAATTGATCAAAATCCTTTCTTAGCGGATGCCTGCGTCATAACATCTACCTGCATGCCAAATTTCAGCCCGATCCGTCCAGTGTTTTGGGCTGGGCGTTGATAGATTACTACGTCAGTCAGTCACCTTTGAGTTTTATATATATAGATTATAAAAAAACTGAAGATGGTATATTTATCTTTTCCAAACTTCTATTGACATCACGTCGCTCAATTATTTTGCCTTCCCAGAATCTCTCCACTAACATTTGAAATTTATGGTATGGTATTAAAGTTCAAATTGACTTTTAAGTATTATTACGAATCGTTTGTATGGGAGTAAAGAAAAGTTTTGTTTTTTGACATTTTCAGGCATTTTTTTTAAATTTTCTCTTCGTAAGAACCATCCTCGTACTTCAAGGAATATTCTAAAAAAAAATCAGCCAAATCGGTCAAGCCGTTTTCATGTTATGTCGTGACAACGGAAAACGGGTTTCATTTTTATATATATAGATACAGGTTGCAAAGTTGTTACATAGATACATTTTAATACAGTACAGTCATATTCTGCCTTATTGGCATGCAATATAATATTTCTATATAACATTAATTATTTCAATGTCACATTAATAAAAACATAGTTAATTCAAAATGTCAATAAGCGATAAATATATTAGTCTAAAAACTTTTGTCTTCCAAAAATTCACGGATCGTATAGTAACATTTTTCTATTAAAAAATGTTGTAATTTGTTTTTAAATATATTGGTCACGGTAATTTCTCGCACACTTTCAGGTAATTTACTATAAATAATAGGAGCATTGCAAAACAAACTTTTCCTAAATAGTGCCGTATTACAAGGGACACAAAGTTTTCCAATATGACGTTCACGAGTTTAAGGGTTAGTCGAACTATCCACTAATGCTTCTAAGGCTCCGTTAAATGAAAGCAATTAACTTATTCTTATTAGTTTTAATTACACACTTTATAACACTTTACAAACGTCTTCACTTAACGACACCGTGAGGAAGAATGTGCAAAAGTCGTCATTCCCCCGTAATTTCTCTCTCCATTCCCAATAAAAACTTCTCGCCTGTGATTGGTCGTTTATTAATGCCGCGGGAAGATAAAGCGTTCTGATTAGCCAACGACAAATACCCGTTGACCAATAGCGTTCGAGCTAGATTACGCGGCAAGGCATTGAGTTGCCATCATAGAAAATTCAAATGTTGCCAATTTAAAAATAAATTCATACCGATTTTCTACGAATATCACTAACCCTAACACGAGTTCTGGTCTTAAATATTTTAATATTACTTTTTACAAAGGCAGCGCATTCAAGAATGTAAAGGCACGGCAGAGTCAATATTTTTAACCTCATAAAAAACGGTGCACATGATTCTGTAAGTGGTAGATTAAACATAGCTCTGATGCATCTCTTTTGCGCCCTGAATGCAGTGGTTGCGTCAGTAGAATTTCCCCAAAAGATCAATCCATATTTGAACATATATATTTATTAAGAGTAGAAGCGGAGGTTGTTTCATCAGACGAGCGCACGCTCTAATGGGGACTTGCCTGAAACCTTCCCTTCATAATTAAACA